GTCTAAGTAAATAAGGTTTTGCCTGAGAAAGATAGCTACCTTATCAAAATTCAGATAGGTGAAGCTTAGCAAATTCTAGTGATTGAAAATAAGGTCTTTTAGTGGACGGAGTTAGACATAAGTTTCAGCTCTGGTAAAAAACAAATTCAAAATGGCAATCCAATGATTTTGAATGTTTTCTAACAACAAAGCAATATTAATATTGTGAATCTTTTTCTTTCTTTCTTTTAAAGGAAATGGAAAAATCCGATGCCAATAATTTCTTAATCTTGTTCCGGGATTCAGGCTGCCAGTTCAGATCTCTGTATACATACTGCCCTGATACTGAAGAAATCAATAAATTAACAGGAATAGGTCCAAAATCTATCACAAAGAAAATGATAGAGGGACTGTATAAATACAACTCTGACAGGAAGCAATTTAGCCACATACCTGCTAAAACTTTGTCTGCCAGTGTTGATGCAATTACCATTCACAGCCATTTGTGGCAAACCAAGAGACCAGTAACTCCTAAGAAACTTTTACCCACCAAGGCATAGTAGACGGGAAAAAATTTGCTTCAGACAATTATGATAAAACTTGCACTTCATCTTTACTGCCTATAGGAAATAGATTTCTAGTTGCCAACAAGACTCTTAGAACTTAAAACTGGACACCAAGTTTTATTATCATGTCCAACTGGAATGTAAACAGTGTTTAGGAGTGCAGAAGATAATTGCTTAGGTGAATAACTATGAGTGATTACAGAAATGTTGACTTGTGTGGAGATTTATATGTGCTAATACAATATATAGAGTATATATGCTCTGTATTTTGATTAGATACACTGAAGCACTGAATGTTCCTCTTTAGTGACTCAAACTACATTTTTTTACATCTGTTGCCTTATATGTTTGTATTTGTGCTTGTCTTGGAATATTTTTTTTCTTTCACTAAAGAAATACTTCTTAATATTCTCAATACCATTGAACTTTGCATACTGACTTACAGTAGGGACTAAATATACGTTGTATGTCACTGAAGAACAGCTGAATGGGTCTGTTCTGCAAGATCCTTATTGTGTGCTGTGAGAAAATCAAGATTAATTTCCCTGAGTATTTATTATTCTTTTTCAATTAAATAATACTGATTTGCTTATAGACTAAACAGTAAAGGAAAAACCTTTGAACTGCTTGAAGTTTCCTTCAAATTAACTATTTAACAACTCAGGGTATAGTTATGCAATGCAGTTACTCCTGTTTTGGTAAGTTACCATCTGAGATGGAATGACTGACCATGTGCATGTTCATAATACCATTAAAATGCAAAGTAAAAAGACTTGGTAGACCTCTGAAACAGTTTAAGCAAATGTGCATTATTTTGCATTGTTGCAGATGAAGCATGAGCACACGGTCAGGTATTGCTTCTCCAAGGAAGGAATAGGATCCCGTGAAACATTCAGAACTAGATCCCTGATGTTGGCTTGACAGAACACTAATATTCAGAAGAATCATAGATTTCACTAAGTCACAGGTCTTTCAGAAGTCATGTATCTAACACCCAATGATTTTAAGATCCAGGCCACTGTCTGTTCTTCTTGCCTTCAGGTCTGCCAGCTCAGACTTAAATCAATTTTCTAGGGAAGAGACATCTGATAAGAATTGTCAGTGTGTCTTAATAAATTGTTTTCTTGACACAAACTAACAGATTGTCTTGTGACACTTTGCCACATGTATTTAAAACCACTAAAAAGCCTAAATGACATTTCAATAAATTTGTAATATGACCATTTAGAAAAACAAACTCTAGGCATATTTCAGTATTAGTTATAAAGGGCTGCATTTTATTTCAAAACAGTGTTTGATTATTTTGTAGATCACTATTCCGTTTCAGTGTTTGCTTCTCTTACAATTTGCTTTTAACATAGCACTGTTCTGAAGAAAAAAAAAAAAAAAACAACAAAAAAAAAACTACAAACTTGAAGCCTCCCCTAAATCTGTGGCTATTTTGATAATATACACCAGAGGATTTGCTGGGGGAAAAAAATCTCATTCTCAGGAAAAGACTTGAATGATTTGTGATTCTGTTCTGTTTCAGTGTTGTGACAACTACGTTAACATAAGACAGTATTGTGCTATAACTATGTAGTCCATTCTGTTTCATGGGGAGACTAAAACTATGTTCATATTTCTCTCATTAAACTGCTTTGAGAGAAACTATGCCTCACTACTATGATGTACTCATTTACTTATATAAAAGATGCACAGGAATGAGATGTCATTAAGCAGTTTAGAACAGTACTTTTTTTAAATTATTATAAGGCCTTAGGCATCAATGCATTTGGGTTATAAACATTTTCTCAAAAATGCTGTCAGTTTTACTGTAATTTATGTTCTTATATTTATGTATATTTGTTAAAACTGTAAAAAAAAAAAAGAAAAAACACTTTAAAATACATGTTTAATATGTATGTGGCTCAAAACTATTTGTGGTTAGCTGATTCCTACTGTTTGCATGTATATCACCAGGATATGTAACTCTTATATTTCAAGTGTATACATATTGTGTATATAGGATATAAATAATATTAAAAAAGGGGAAAGAGGGTTTGCACATTCTGCCTGTTAGACAGTTCCTACAAATACCACTGTAGGAACATCTTGAATAACAATATGAAACTGTGTATAATATACAGTGATTCAAGAAACCAGGAGGTTAGAATTAACTGATACACATATGGTGAATAACTTCAAAAGAAGTTTTATCATGGGAGGCTTTTTATTTCTAAAATCTGTACTATGATTTAACTGAAGATTTGCGACACCATAAAGACACACACATCAATCTAATCAAAGTGAGCTTAAATACATGACAGGAATTCTTTGAGTCATTTTAAATGTATCTGAGTGTATTATGAAATTTGCATTTGTCAACAGGTTGAAGATTTGTGCAATGTCTAAAAGTAGAATGTGAATAATGCAGTTGAAAATTTCATTGCTCGCCGTATAAAGTTTTACTTAATACAGGAAAAGTAAAGCTAGATACGCTTTTCCTTTTTAAGCCTGCAAATTTTCTAATTACAGTGGATCTTTGGTTGGGATCATGTTTAAAAAAAGAAACAAAAAAATTAAAAAAAAAAAAAAAAAAAAAAGGAAGCTTTCCATAAAGGCCAGTATTTATCACTGACCTTTTCAGAACACACTGGTGCTTTCATCAGGGGTATTATTATTGTTGCTACAACTGAATTGCCAAACTCTCGTCTTAGTTTTTGGAGCAAAATTTCATATTCTAACAGTCATAACAGCTACTGAATTTTTTTTTTTAATGTTAGTATGACTGTTAGTTTTTATTATTTGGCTGTTTAAAGCCAAATTCAGCTATTTAATTATGATTTAATGGGCACTGTTGAAAAATGTACAGTGTATTGTGTGCTTACTTGTCCACTTCTATGGAGCATAGCTTCCATATTTTTTTCAAATGCTGTGCTGTAAAATATTGTCATTGCTACTTATGTGGTACAATGTAGTTTTTTCCTTTCATTTAAATAAAAGCATGGCACCAAAAGAACATTTTTTGTTTTCTTGCTTACATCTAAATATAAACTGAAGCTATAAAAGTTCATATTAATGTTTAAATCTTGTTTCTTCTCATATTTCAGCAACACAGAAATTGTAGAAAATATGCACCATTTTTGTTTCTCCTTTCATTTGCCACTGTTTGTGTTCTCACATGTAATTTAGCCTTCTGATGTTATCACAGGGAGGCTATTTGAAGAACTAGGCTTCTCATTTCGTTCTTGAGGACAACATGGTGTTACCCTCTTCAGAAGTGAGTTTCACAGTTGCGAGTCACCTGATAAACCCCTGTACTCTGGTTAGCTTCCACTGTTCCAAAATGATAGAAACTTACTGGTGGGGGTAATAGAATTGCTTCAGAAGGGAAGGTTTATCAAGATGAACTGAAGTCTTCTCTTTATCAGGACAGCTAATAAACAATATGACTTCTAGTGAAATAACTTGTACTAGTTAGTGATGCAGTCTTGAACAGAAATAGTATCCAAAAAATAAAGCCTCTCTTACAGATTTGTACATTAGCAGTTTTTTCCAGTCCAAATCATGCCTTTTTTGAGGTTTTGTGTTGTCCTGCTGGGTTGCAGAGTAGGAGCAAGGACTTGCTGGAAGGGGACACGACATTGCTGCAGTGTCAACAGGCAGACTGAATTGTTGGGGTAACTTACGCAGGCAAAGACTCTCTAAAATTCAGAGCTATTCAGAGGGCAGCTTAAAGAATACAGGATATCTGATAGTAGGGCTTTTAGTACCGAATTGAAAACTAAAGTGGATGAAAATGAATAGCCCTCCCTCCTCCCCCCAAAAGCGGTTATTTGTCAGCCAGCTCAGTCAGTTCCCTGTACAGCATCACAAACAGCCTGACACAAGCAAGGAATTATGTTGGAACACAAACACCCAGTTGCACTCAGTAAAGCTATTTTGCAGGGGCAAGTCCAGCTCAAAATTGTCATCTATGAACAGCCTTTGTGCAGACGGGCTATTAGAACAGACTTCACTTTCTCTGTCCCTCAGCAAGTAACACCATACTTGAGAAATTTCAGATCACGTCCTGGTTGATTTGATAGACTATGACTCTACTGTGTGTCTGAATGTGTACAGAATTTGTGAATCAAAATTTGTACTGCTGTGGGATCCCGTACAGAGATCTGGTATCACCAACTGCAGAACAATCACCTCGGTTTCACCTGGAACCTAAGCTTTTGGATTGGTCACCACATAGAGGTGATGTAAAAACTAGCTTTGTTTCTCAAATCCAGCTGTACTGATCAGGCTTAGATGTCCATGTCTTTTTTCCAACAACTTCATAAACTAATAAAGACACAGCTTTGTAAGGACCCAACCTTTAACCACTTACGTCTTTTCAAATAACAAATTAGCATTTCTTTGCTGTCTTGTTACTAATTAATGAGCTGAATAAGCAGTTTGAAGAAAAGTGGCTATAACATTCTATCTTGAGAGCCACAGCCCTTTATGTCTGCTTTTATATTTTCTAATTGATTAAAAAATTAAAACCAACAACAAAAAAAACCCACACAAATTATCTTATTCCAGGCACAAATGGCAGAAAAAAATAAGTATTTTTAACATACACAGCATCTTTTTTCATTTATAAGCAATTTGTTCTTGAAAGCAAACTATTTCATTTAGGAAAAGACATGTGAAGTATGCGTATACATACGTATAAATGCACAGATAACTACACAAATATTTTTAGACTTACTTGCTTACACACAGATGTAAAAAGGAATACACTTTATTTATATATCCCCAGCAAAGAGTTAAATATGGTAGTGAAGATACTCTAGCTAATTTCCTTCTAGCAAGAAAGAAAAGCAGCTACCTTGTCTGTTTTACACTGGGAACTACTGGTCTTTGTAAGAGACTGTGAAACAACATACAACATGCGTTTAGGAGCTCAGTACAAACTCTTTGGGAGGTGGAGTTCTTAACACCAGGCTTTTCACCAGATTTCTCAATTCAAGGATAACGCAGATGGACAGTAGACAGAACTGCCTTTGATCAGAAAAGCTGGTATCAACTTGGACTTCAGGAAAGGAGAGAAAACAGTAGAAAGTTAAGCATTCCACTGAAAAATGTTATTTAAGATTTTTTTCAGACTCTTATTCAACATTACAAACAACTGGATGTATATAATACTTACAAGTAAGTAATTCATTAGGCATTGACAAATTTGTTAAGATACTGAAAGAATTTTTTTCACGTAAGATGTGTTTAAGTTTTCAGGTAACAGTATGCGAACTTCATGGAGACATACAAAGCATAGTATTTGTAGGCATTTTTATGTCACTTAATCTGTTAATAGAGCTTTGCAGAAAGACTAAAAGCTAATATGAAGCTTTCCATTAAGGCAGCTCTGTTTGATCCTTTCTACATCATCACTGATCTAAATGTCTGCATTACCAGACCTGGCAAGGACCCACAAGCCTGCAATTACTTGAATTACCTGAAGCCAGATTATACTTTGGCTCAGTATTTTTCTCACTTAAACTACCTGAAACTGGAGCTATGATGCTGACATAAACAAGTCTATAGATTATGCAAGAATTTTGCTGAATTGTCATGCCGAAGTTCTGGAAATCCTTTCTTGAAATGAGTGAAAACTGTTTCCAGAACTAATGTTTTAAACAGAATGTCCTGGTAAACATAGTATAAAATATACAGAGTAGAACAGCTCTGTTACAATGACTAAAAATCGGGGGGTTGGCCCATTTTTATGATAACAGCACAAAGATGCTTTGCACAAACTGCTGGACTTACCTGGCAGATGTTGTGCAAGGTTAGCTCAGGGGAATAAATCTAACACACCCAGCCCTGCTGACATTGTCTGTGGCCACCTGTAGCATCTGTAAAATAGTCACACAATTACTATTTTATTTTCTGAAGCATTCCAAGAACAGACTGCAGTGCCCGGTCTTGTCACTAGGCAAGCAGAACTCCTCCTCTACTAATCCTGATTTTCAAGCTCTCTAAAGCCCACACCCAACAGCATTGCTATTCATGGGAGTTACCTTCTTTGCAATAATGACTGGGTAGTTGAAAGCAAGCTGAGACCATCCCAAAGACATCTCTCCATGCCTGAGTAAAAAGTTATGAACAAGCAGAAAACGGGGTCTTCCATCTGCCCTTTTCCAATAGGATGCAGATATCTTCTCCAAGTATTTAAGAGTAGTATGACTGCCCTCCATAGCAGGTGCATGAAGCAGCGCTACCTATTCTTCCGTGAACAGATACGTGGTTCTTGGAATCTCTTTCCAAACTATAGGAATTTGCTACTTCCTTGTCAAGGGCCGGATATTCTGAGCAGGAAACAGAATAATTTTAAATTCAGATTTTACTCTTCCTTTTGAGTCTATAACTGGGGAGAAGCTTTACCTTTTTTTCATCCTGAAACTCTTGCCCTCCAGAGATACAGTCTCACAGATTTCATCTTGGGACCTCCACTGGAAACAAAGCTATTGCACAAAAGACCACAGTAACACCACTGTAAAATCAAGATTAAATTTCAAAGCATAGGCATGTTTACCTAGTGTTTTGTTTAAAATTGATTTATCCAAGTGTATGTTCAGCAAAGTTATGCATACAGCTTTATTTAGACAATTAAAGCCATCTTGTTTTTCCACACTCCCCCTGATTTATCGTCTCCATTATATCATCTGCACTGGGAAACCATTTCATTTCTATAATTATGTGTTCTATTAATCACTGCCTCCAAAGGCAACAAAGCAACAAGCGATATCTTTGTACGTAAGCAGAAGGATTCAGTGTCTCACTAGAGAATTGAGCTTCCTGCGATGTGATGCTGGGACTTGAGCGTGGCAGGAGGAACCATCAGGTTCCCTGTTCCTCCTTGCCCGTTCCTGGCAGTCACTGCCGGGCAGCCGGGCGGCATGCCTCCCCTCACTCGACAGCCTTCAGGACACTTCTCTGTGCCTTTTTAGAAAGAGAGAGAATACCAGGACTCCACCCTGCCCTTCAGCTGATCCTCAGCAAAAGTTTGCAAGCAGACTTGAATTCACTGTGGATTTTAACATTTTTAACTGTCAGTGTGACACAGAATCCAGTTCAGCTTCAGTTACATCCCTGACAACCTTCCCTGGACCTCTGATGCGTCACACATACACACATACATAGTTAAAAAAAAAAAAAAATAAAATCGGGAGTGTGCTATGTTCTTTGTCAGAAAGCTGTCACCATCTCCATTTTGTCAAGGCCTGCCAGTGCACTGCTGCACGCACACTGGGGTTTTGTCCAAGTGCTCTACTGGCATTTTAACATGATTTTGTGTATCTCATCTCCCAGCTATATTTAAACACAGAGAAAGCTTATTAACTGTTCACCTTGATAATTCTTAGATGCCATAATTCTCTGACAATTACAAAAATACATTAAATGTAACCAAATGTCAAAATAAACGTAAATACATCATCATAAAATATAACATGTGCATACCTACAATTTCTGTAAAGCATGCGTTCTTTCCACAACGGTCTCAAGAAGCTGAAAACAGCGAAAACATACTAAAAAAATCCGAGGCTGGCGTGAAATGTAGCAGCACCTCACGCAGTAACTGAAGGTGTTGCCAACAAGCCATAAGCCTCCGCCGCATGAGCAAAGGCAATACCGTCGTGGCAGGGGGCGGTGGCCGGCTGGCAGTCCTAATCAAAAGGGGAAGAAAGCGCATCTGCTCTGCATTTATTGTGTGATTTATTTTTTTTTTTTTAGAGGGGGGGGGGTGGGGGGGGGTGGGGTGTCGGGAATCGCCTGGGCCGCAGAACCACTCGTGTGTCCCTGACGGCTCGGCCAGGCCGGCCCCGAGGGGCCGGGGCTGAGGGAGCCCCGCGCCATTTAGGAGTTGTTCCCAAAGCGCCCCTCCCCGTCAGCAGCCCCTCAGCGAGCCCACCGGGGGTCGGGCGCGGAGCCGCCGCGGAGTTTCGCGGCTCAGCCCGCAGTTACCGGGGCTGGAAGCTGCGGCCCCGCCGGCTCCGCCGCCCCGCCCCGCCCCTCCCGCGGTTACCTCAGGAGCGGGGGAAGGAGGGAGGGCGCGGCCGGTCCCCGCCGGTACTGCCGGCCCCGGCGGGCGAAGGCCGGCCCCGCCGCTAACAAAGCGAGCCCCACCCCAGCGCGGCGGCGGCGACCGCCGCCATCGGTCCCTCCCGCCCCCGCGGCGCTGGGCGACGCCCAGCCGGGCCGGCCCCCGCCCGCCCCCTTTTCGCCTTCGGCTCCGGTAGCGGCGCGGGCACCCCGCCCCGGTGCGGGGAGGGGCGGCTCCCGGGGCACCGTGCCGCTGGGCAGTGCGCGGTGAGGGCGGGCGCTAGCCGCAGCGCCCGGCGGAGTGGGACCGGGACCCGGACGCCAGCACCAGGCCTGGTCCGTTCCCCCTCCACCGCCCCCCGCCCGCGGCGCAGCGAGGCCTGCCGCCATCTTCCTCTCACGCCCCGCTGGTGACGGCGCGACCGGGCCGGCGGGCCCCTCAGGTGAGGGCGGGCGGGGGCCGCGCCGGGCTGCAGAGGGGCCGGGACTGGCCCAGCGGGGAGGGGCTGGGGCGGCGGGCCGGGGGGCTGCGCCCGGAGGCGGGGGCGGCCCCGCTGACCCTGCAGCCGCCCCCCCGTCCCCGGCGTGCGGGCAGGGCCGCCCCGCGCCGCCGCTTCCCGGGCCGGGGGGAGCTTCGCCCCGGCCGCCGTCGTCCCTTTGTTGCGGCAGCTGCGGGCGGGCCGGGCCAGCCCAGCCCAGCCCGGCCGCGGTGGCCGGCGCGGCTGTACCTTGTCGCCGGGGCCGCTTCAAAGGAGCGTCGGCTCCTCTGCGGCCCTGTCGGCTGCCGGTGCCGAGCTGACACCCCCGAAATGCTAATGCAGGCTGGGCGCTGTGTAATTAAACAGTGCGGTCGTTTTGAACCCTTTCACCGGCAGAGGTGGATTTCGTGTGGAATCGCACGTGAAGAGGAGGGAAAAAAAATCGGAGGAAGTGGGGATTTTGTAGTCAAAATGCATTCATTTCTACACTCTGTAACTTGTTGAGTTTTTGGTTTTTGTTTGTTTTTTTTTTTGTGTCTTTTTTTTTTTTTAGTTTTCTGCGTGCTATTTTCACTCCAATATGGAAGTATCACATAATGTAATGTCACCTTTTTGGCATTCACCGTGCAGAACACAGTCAGTAAAGAGTGTTCATGTTGTAACAAGGATTGAGGAACGCACAAAGTTTTGCCAGTCACCTCTAAGGCGTGGTGAGATAAGGATTACTGTGGTGGCTCTAAAGCAACAGCTGATCTAAGCAAGGTAGAAAAATTGTATTACTAGAGAGCAAGCCAGTGAAAAATCTGTGTGAGGAAGAAGAGGCTAGTATGTAAGAAGACACTTATTTCGTGTGTGTTACAGTATAGAAAGGTTTCAATTGTGGAGTTAAACAGTACAGTTTGAAGGTTTTCTGTTAAGGGTTTCATATGTTCAGTATTGTTTATTTGAAATAATGAATCGTGTGTTCTCTTAGGGTAAAATGGGTGTCAGTTACGCTAACTGTTGTGGGAATCTATTGTAATAAAAAATTTGGCCTATAGGTTGTTTTTTTTTTTGTTTGTTTTTTGTAAATTCTTTTGATGTAGAGTAACTGGAAGATGATTGAGGGCACATCAGAATCGGAGCCACTAGGTACTGGCCGGGCCCCGAGTCCCCCGTGGGGTCTGTGTAGGCGGAACTCCGGAGTGGCCTCTGGGCAGGCCCAAGAGTCCTATGTAAGTGACTGTGGGGTGGGTGAAGAGGTGAAATAACTTTACATGAAACAGCTACCTTTTTAAGTATGTGCTGCTTCTTCACATTGAATTTTCCTGTGACATAGCTCACCAAGATGCTGAGGTTACAGATATGCATTGCAGCTGTCACTGAAGTCAGTGAGCCAAGACTTCTAATTAGGCATCGCTTCTCCCTTTAAACATATCACTGCTCTCTCAGTATGACATTTAAGATTTGAATTATAATATTGCTTTCTTGTGTTTTTGAGTAGTGATTTTATATTCTTTGCCCAGTTTTGTGAATGCATATTGTATACTACTGGCGAGTGATCTATTTCAGATGATAAATAATGCAGGAATAGCGCTTATTTTAGAATTTCACTATTTACTTGTTTTCCAGAATATTAAACCTTACTTTTAATGTTCTATCATGTGAATTCACATACGTTTTAAATTTCTTCTAAGGGAGGTAACTGAAAGAGAAACACTATTTAGATGCTCTTTTTAGACACTGCAGATTTAGAAACATTTTCCTGAAATAGTATATTTATATGCATAAGTGTATATCTGTCTATTTTTTAAAGAATTGTTTTCTGTTCTTATAACAGCATGAGAGGATTCTTGCTGTTGGCATGTTCTTAGAATATGAGTAAGAACAGAATAAGAGTGAAACCTCTCTGTGGAAAATTTAGGAGTAGGTACTCTAGGTTCTGAAGAGCTTGTTTAAAGAACGTCTTGTCCATTGAAACTACAGAGAAAACATATGCCAAATTTGTGGCAAGAAGCTGTGGTTTGTTTTTTCTCTTGATGTAGCTTTATTAGGAGGAAAACAAATTTAAATACAGAACTAGGGGGAGTGGACAGGAGAAAGAAGGAAGGAGGACAGATGCAGAAAAGTGCTGTTCTGAAAAGACTGGTTAAGATAAAGCTTGTAGCAAAAGCCTGGTTGGTAGAAGGCACCTGAAATGTTAGGCTCTAATACTCATCTGCTTTCATTTGTACCTCAAGATAATGCTGTGCTTCAGTCATTCTTGAGTATTAGTGCTTGAGCTGATCAGATTGTGGCGTTACGTGCCATATGTGCTGGCAGAAAGCAGTATGGTGGGATGGACCAAAGATGAAGCTTGGGCTCTAATCTTGAGTTTCCCTGCTGTTATTTGCTTTATTATTATTATTATTATTTATACACATACACACACATCACTGAGTGTCAGAAAAACGGATGTATTTCATAGGGAGTGGTGTGTAAGCCTATGTATATTTATAATTTCATTATAGTGTTATTTTTGACATTATGGTGCTTATAAGAGAATTCTAATCTCTTCACCCTGAAAAAACATCAGTTACATGAAAATCTTCTCTAGCAGGTTTACCGTGCTTTCCTAGCTATTTGTGTTGCTCTGACTGCAGATGCACACTAAATACTTTCATAATACTGTTAATGTATGATCTTATCAGCGTGCTTGGACTCTTCTTCAGACGTACAGTATCCAATCTAGTTTGGATATTATATTTTTCTTAACAGGATGCTAAAAGTGCTGTTACTAACAAATATGGAGCATGCTGATCATCCTTTACCTGAATTTATATGGCAATATAAATAACATAAATGAAGCGTTAGAATTGGCAAAGGCTTAATGTTCTGGACAAACCTGTTCTTTTAATACTACAGCGGAAGGTGGAAAACAACTTCTTGCAGATGCTAGATTTTACTTAATGCAGTTATACTCTTAAGCAGAGTACTGAGCATTATGCTCATTTTTTCCATCAATAGAATATGTAAATAATTAAGACAGTCTTAAAGCTGTGTAGGCTGCCTTCCCGTTCAGGCTTGAGTGTGGTAGATCTAGTTGAAAAGAAAGCTGGGCTTGGTGTTTCTTTCTTCAAAAGGAGTTCAGAGTTTCCTGATGGGCAGTCTCAGTATAGCTTTGCTTAGGTTTTGCTTTGTCTTTTGGCAAGGAAGTTAATTTGTTTTACATAAAGACCACCAGTGCCATAAAACATAAGAGAAATGCAAATGCATTGGGTGAGGCTGGGAATTAAGATGTTAATACTAAACTGTTCGTTAAATGTGTGTTGGTTTTCTTTTTTTCCTTCAGTGTATAAGGGTAGGGTTGAATTTTTTATCTGGGACTAAAATCCATTTCCAGTTGCCAAAAGGGGAAGTTGAAACAGTGCTGGAATAGAAGGAAAAGGCATCTTCCTACAAGTTCTGGCTTTGGATTTGTGTGTCTATCTGCTTTCTTTCCTGCAGCAAAGCTTTCTGCAAGCCAGATTTGAAAATTTTCTTTGACTTCACTAGCACAGAGTGGGCCCATGGTCTCTGGGTGTGTCTTTCATGAGACCCATCAAAATACTTGGGGTTTGGAGTCTTCTGTGACTAAAATGAGAATTAAAGGCAGCCATTTTAAAAATGAAGTTAGGCCATTTCATCTGGCACAATTAGGTCTCCGTTGTTCCAAAATAAACTGTGGTGCTATAATCAAATGCTTTCCTAGTCAAATGTTCTGGCAAAAACTTACTTGGAAAAAAGTTGACATACAACTGTGAGGAAGATGGAAAACTTGGGAATTTAGATGATGTAGTATAAAACCCCCTCTTAGTAATGCCAAATTTTTTGTATCCCTTCAAGTTCATTAGCAATGGTTTGTGATGATTAGTGAGAAGTTTCACTGGAATATTTGTCTCTTCCCCTGTTCTCTGGTGAATAATTATTTTTTTGTTAATAGTTTGAGTGTCTTATTTGAATTATTCAAACTTCTATCTGTTCTTTGATTTCTTATTACCAGTTTCTGTACATCTTTGCTAATGTGAGATAGAGAACTAGCTTACGGGCTCTGGTTTTCCAGGGCCAATGGGTCTGGATGCTGCATCATCTCTTCAGCTGGTCTTGGGAGCTGTGTTAGCCACAGTTGTCTTCCAGCATTGTGGCTGCTAGATTTCTGCCTAAGTAAATGGTTGCATGAGGGAATTAAGTGGTATTTTTAATTCTCCTTTTGAATGAAAAGGGGGAGCACCTGGGGTAACTATAACCTCTTGCTGTGGACATCTTGCTCTGTGTGGTCATATCCCTTTATTCGTATTTCTGATCACTGTTATTCCACTGTCTCTCCTTGTTTCTGGGGATATTTCTTCCTGCTGATGGTTCCTCACTGATACTCGCTGCTTCTCTGTTCTTTGGTGCACTCTTATAATTAATTTAAGCCAGGTTAAGACTTTGCTACTTCCAGAAAGCAAACCTCCGTCAGTTCCCTGTGTCCACAGAGTGAATAAATGTTTAACTTGTGCCTGGAGTGGTTCGGCTAACCATACAGCTCCAGTGTGGGTGCCATGAAGCAGCTGGGGATGTGTGGCTGAGCACAGAAGTG